ACACGGTCCTTGCTGTCCATTTCATTTGGCTTTTCAGTTTGAGACTTTCTGGAGAGGAAGCAGCCAGTGCTCCTTGACCCTCACTCCCCACAGACCTTGGAGCAGAGCATAGTTGGGGGGAGTCCAGGTCCCCAGAATAACTTCTCCTACCCATCCCCACGTGTGTGGGTAGAAGACACTTTAGGTATCATTTAACCCAAGTTCTAGAAAATAAGGCTCAAAGGCAAAGTAACTTCCCCAGTGTCCTGTGATATGAGCACCAAGCTGGCCTGAGAAATCAGGTCCCTTACTCCACTAATGTTCTCACCTCTGCGGTAGGGGCCTCATGCAGCTCTGCTGCTTTCACAGTAGAAGGTGCTGAAGCAGCTTCACAGTTCACAAAAGCAATCTACTTTATCTTATTTTATAAAGTACATGCAAAAAAATGCCTTTGATTTGCCAGGTGGTCTGGGTAGAGCATGAAGGTATAGGAAGGCCACAGAGAAATTGCCCAGAGAATCTGATCCAAAAAACTAATAAATGCAATGAGAGCCGGCCAACCAGAATGGCTCTGGGGTAGAGTTGAAAAGCCACTGTGAGGTGGTAAAAAGTTGAGTTACTGAGTGACGCACAGTGTCACTCAACAACAACACCATGGGTGTTGATATCAAGACTGATTTTACTTTTGGAAATAGTCTCAATTTCACACCCTTCTTGACTCCCTGAATGCTGAGATTGTACTACATCTGGCCCTTGACCGGTCTCTTTCCCAGTGCTGAGGAACAAACCTAGGGTCTTGTTGGACATGTTGTCTACCACTGACCTATGTCCAAACCCCTTGACTTCGTAAATGATATTCTAAATAACTTCAAAAAGAACAAGATAGTTAATACTTGTTTGTTCAGGTATTTTTATCCCATGCTTTGTTGAAGATGAATTGTTTTGAGAATGGCATGTGTAAGAGCACTGAGCTGGATCTTGTTGATTGGCAAGAGTGTAAGTCAGCAGGTGGGAGGGGTGCTTTTTAACGCACTGGGCGCCCTTATGTGATTTTGTCTCCAGATAATTAAGTCAGTGGTTTTCAGTAGGTGTTATTTTGACCCCCACAGATATTTGTGAGCATCTGGAGATATTGCTTCTTGTCACAGCTCAGTGGTTGGGGAAAGGTACTCTGAAGCCAGGGGTGCTACTAAGCATCATACCGTGACAGAATAGTCCCTTGCACCAAAGAAAATCCCACCCAAAATGTCAGTGGCACTGAGGTTGAGGTTCCTAGATTACTGCAGCAGTGGATGCACCTACAAAAAAAGAAACGGGAAGTCCACTGTGCCTTTGGTCAGCAGCAAGCTGCCTGCAGTGCATTCTGTGCGTCTCGCTGCTTGGCAAGGGGACTCAGACCTGAAGACCAAACTCCGTCCGATGTGGGACTTTCCTTTTCGCCACCTGTTGCAGCTTTCGGTAAGCAGTGATTGCGGTGATAGATTTGCCTGTATAGAGACAACTCCTGAAAAGTTGGGCAGGCTGAATTGTCTTATCTCTTTACTTTATGTGGAGAGGTGAGTGTCTGTGAAGGTTCACATGTGTACATAGTACATGTAAGGGTCAGAGGTCAACCTCAGGGATCATTCCTCAGCTGTCATCAACTTTGGTTTTTGAGACACCATCTCTCACTGTGGTCTAGTACTCACCAGTTTGTCTCGACTGCCTGGCCTGGGTGTGAGCTTAGGATCTTCGAGTCTCTGCCTCCCCTGGGATTCCAGAAATGTGCTGCCATATGGGGGCTAGAAATCAACGCTGGTCCTCCGCATAGGAGGAAAGGTTGCACGTGCTTGGCCTATTGAGCCATCCTCCCAGCTCCTGAGTCACATTTAAAATAGTCAAGGAACAGTTAACACCTGCAGCCAAGCATCTTTCCAAGTTCCCAAAGAAGACTGAGCTGTCCGCTGCACCTGCAAGTACTTCCCTTGCCCTGCATTTCACACCTGTATTGCAAGGTCCAGTTCTTCTTTCCTTTTGTTTGTTTGTTTGTTCGAGATAGGGTCTCTCTGTGTAATGCTAGCTGGCCTGGAATTCCCTACATTAACCAGGCTGGTCTTGAACTCAGAGATCCGCCTGCCTCTGCCTCCTAAGAGCTAGGAGTAAAGGTGTGCACCTCATACCTGGCCTGCCATTATTCTCTATAGTGAAAAGCAGGGAGCATGGTGGGCAGAAGCTAACCGACTGTCTGAATTTGGGAATGTCATTGATTGATGAATTCATACCACAGTTGAAAAATACCTCCATGTTACAAATTGTTAGAAAATAAGACTTGGTTCTGTTTTGAACTCATTAATTTCTTTATCTCATACTTTTTTCAGTTATTGACCTTTGGCTCAGCCAAGCAGGTGCACTCCTCATCACTCTGTGGGTGGCTTTCTTTTTTTTTCCACCAGAGATATCTGATAAGACTCAATCTCTTCTCTCACTGCACGCCTGGTATCAGCAGAGATAAGGGAGTGGCACTGGGGAACAAGGTGTTTTCTCCTTATCAGTCACTGCCTTAGAGCCACGCCCCTAGGCGGATAAATCCACGACCAGGTCTGGAGGAAATTTATTTGATAAAGCTACCATTAGTGTCATTAAATGGTAGGAACTTACCGAGGTGTGACCCAGTAGGGACAAAACCCCTGCCACTAGAGCACAGTTAGCCCAGAGAGAGGCTCTAGGAGACCTGACTCAGCCCTTCATCCTGACTGACAGGAGTGGAGGGGTAGGGAGAGGGAGAGCAGAGGTGACCCAGCTGTGTACAGGGTCACCTGTAACGGACCTCACTTCAGTATGCAGGGTCTTTCTACCTGTATTTGTTCATTGTAGTCTCACAGCAACCAAATGACTAGGAAGATGGCATGGTCAGCCATACTAGAAAAGAAGGAACTGACTTATGAGAAAGTAACCATCCACCTAGGATAGCTCTGCTACAGAGACTTTAGCAACTTGACACTGGCACCCTGCCTTAAAACTGCATCCCTGCTGGAGCCCACGGTGTGGGTGGCCACCAGTGGGAACATTGGCTGGCGCCAGTAGCTCTGGGTTCTAGTAACAACTGTATCTCCAGCTCTCTGTGATGACCACTAGCCCTTTGGGAAGCTTAGTTTTCTGCTCTGTGAAATAAGGGCTTGATGCAGATACCCAGGCCACACAGGGAAGCCAGACTGCAGAGAGGCCTCACAGAGATGCCTGAGGGGCACAAGCTTATCCTTTGCCAGGAACTGCTGGACACTTTACCCATGATCTCATTCAGGCCTGCAGCATCCTGGGGTGCTGGCTGCTCATGTTATCTGTGCTAAGCCAGTGAAGACTGGCGCTCTCCAGGTGAGGTCACTGGCTCCAGGGCATCATCTAGCTGTGTACACTGCACCTCAGACTGGGTGGCTCAGAGATGTGTTTCTCACAGCTCTGGGAGCTGGGAGCTGCAGAGCAGGGTCCTAGCAGGATTGGTTTTGATGAAGGTTTTCCCTGATGGCTTCACATAGTGCACAGGGATTAAGATATTGAGAAGCTCTGCTTCTTGTGTGAAGGACACTCCGCCAATTTTGAACCAGAGATACACCCTTACCTTAATTAGTTTCCTAGTACTACGCAAATACTCTGTCACTAATAGGAGTCACCTTGGGGGCTTGAACTTCTTTATGGGAACTCCAGGGGACACAAGTTGGGGATAGAGAAGCAATTTGCAGTTCTTCATCTGTTATTCTAGTGGCCACTGTCCCCTCAAATGGGAGAGCTGAGCTGGGAGAAAGTACTGCTGTGGGGTAGGAACCCTCTGGTTAGCTCTTTACTAGACCCCCTCCTAATTCCTCCTTGGGACAGGCCACTGAGCCCTGCACGGTGGCACAAGAAGAGAAACATCAGCACGTTAGGGAATGGTGTCCTGAGACTCCTACCCCAGAGCAGGCCCAGGGTGAGCCCTGATGACACCGGTCCAGGGATGCAGTTCCCTGGGCTGCCAGGGTAAAGAGAAAGTCTCCTTTCAGAGCTCCTGCATAGCGCATGCGTGCACACACACACACACACACACACACACACACACACACACACACACGAGCAGGTCATTGGCTGCAGCAGCCAAGGTCATTAGTCACCACTGAGAGCTTCCCAGTGAGAACAGGCTGCGAAGGCAGCCTCCTGTGCAGACTCCAGCAGACAGACAAGCCGCTAGTCATCCGCTGGGAATGCTGTCTCCTCTCCGTAAGCTGCCAGGTCTGCCCTGGTGGTGAGAAAATGTTTGCTTTCCCAGTTCTTCACTCTTCCTTGTTCACAGTTAGGTCACACAAGTAGACCTAGAGAGGTGGGAGGGTTTTCCTAATTTTTTAAACTTTATTTAACTTTATTTCATGCACATTGATATAATGATGTCAGATTCTCTTGAACTGGATTTACAGACAGCTGTGAGCTGCCATGTGGGTGCTGGGAATTGAACCCAGGTCCTCTGGAGGAGCAGTCAGTGCTCTTAACCACTGAGCCATCTCACCAGCCCCCAAGGGTTTTCCTAATTTTAAAGAGTGCACAGGACATCATTCAGAGAATGAAAATGTGCCATTGGACCTTCCCAAACTATCACACAGTGTCAGGAGTTAAGAGGGCTGGAGAAGAAAGCTGTGCCCTCACGTGCAGTGCAGGACTGCCAAGGCCCGCCGAGGGCTTCTGCCTCCTGTCATTCACCCTAGAGATTCTGCTCTCCTTTCTTTGTGGACAGGAAACTGGCGCACACAGCCTCTGCTGCTGCCGTTGTCGCTGTTATCAGAGTCACTGGGTCAGTGTTGACTCCCCTTCACCCACGCCAGTGTCTCATGAAGCTGGCTCTGATCACAAGAGAACTGTCACTAGTGAAACTTCAGCACTGAGACTTTTGAAACAGATGCAGCTGAGTCTCTCAGTTCCGCCTCCTCCCAGGGAGAGAGGTGTCCAGAGGAGCAGACAGAGGTCTCCAAGGCTCTTGTGCTCTGCTGTCTTGTTGACATCTCCATGTTTGGTCTTTGCAGGTGTGAAAGCTGTGGAGCTGTCTTCCATTCCGAGTGCAAAGAAAAGTCGGTCCCCTGCCCACGGTGTGTCCGCCGGGAGCTGCAGAAGAAGCAGAAGTCCTTCTGGCGGCAGCTGAATGTGGACGAGAGCCTGGAGGAGGCGTGCACCATGTTCGAGCTGTGCTACCAGAACACCTGACTGCAGGCCAGGCTGCACACACCACAGCCACCCAAGGGCCACTCTTGCCCATGCAGATGAGGCTGTTCCCTCTTCAGCTAGATGTAGATATATAAGTTATTTATTTATATTATATACACACCTATACGTCCTGTACGTATGCTTTGTGTAACCCATTGTCCAGAAAGTCCACAGAGACCCTGTGGCTGAACTCGTACCAGATAGCTGAGTTATACTTAGCCATGAAATGCAGCTGCTTGCTCCCGGCACCTGTGGGTCCCACACTGCTCTGCAGCCCAAACCCTGTGCTGCACAGGCATCAGAGGAAGCGCCTCCCACAGCACAGCTTTGGGTTCTTACTCAATTTCAGCCTTTGCTGGGGAAGCTGAGGTAGAGATCATTGTCATCTGCTTCGCAAGGAAATCTCCGAAACACGAGAATACTTGCGGATCCTCCTCCCAAGGCGCCAGAGTCCTTGGCAGAGATGGGAGCAGTGAAGCAGAGCCATGAAGCAGAAACCCAGCAGGTCCCTCCCTGCAGCAGGAAGCCTGAGGAGCAGAGCCACCCTGGGTCTGAAGCTAATCCCTGAACATGACTACACGAGACCTCGGCGCCAGTCACTGCGTGTCCGCCTGCTGCCTGCTGGTACGGAGCCCAGCATCTGCCTGATGGTACTGCAGAGTGTGCACGGGTCTCCTAAGAACAGATTTCCAGGCATGGCATGGAGGACGTTTGTTATTTTTTCATAGTGCTGGCCAAGAAGAAATATCCTAGGATCGTCCTCAAGCATATCAGTGCATAGACTGCTAGGTAGCATATGCCACATGCCTCTTGGGGGACCTGATGTTTCCTTTCCTGGAGTCCTCCATAGGCGGTGCCCACCTGACATTTCAAAGGTTTTATTGCTCACTGTCCGTCACAGCACTTTTGATTCCTAATCAGTCCATGAAGTGACTCTTGCTTTTGTATTCTGGGTGTTTTGTTTGTTTGGGATGAGGGCATATTTTATGACAGGGTCTTGCTATATATATATCCCTGGGCTGGCCTCAAACCTGTGATCCTACTGCCTCATCCTCCCAGTACTGGGATTGCAGGTGTGTACTACCATACCTGCTCTGCTTTACTTGTTTTTAGTTATTTTAAAAATTATTTAAAATTAAAAATTATACAATTATTAAATAATAACTTGAAAAATACCAACATAAATTATTAAGAAAATACCAAACATAAATAGAATTCATGAATTTAATATTATTAAAATAAGTAGATATATACATATATATAGTTGCCACCTTACAGTAACACAAGTAAATATTATAAGAATGAGAAATGAATCCCTATGCTCTTTGGAGCAGTCCCCTTGATAGCCCTTTGTAAGAACCTATGTAGTTGTCACTGTGACCAAGATGGCTGGTAGAATGGCACTGGGACCCGATGGCCAGCATTCCTGCTGCCTTAACACAGGACGAAATTTGTTTGTGTGTCTTTCCTGTTGAACTGATGCTGCCCACGCTTCCGTCCGTCTTTCGGATTTTCACTGTTATTCAGATCTGGGGGAACATTGGCTCATAAAGTATGTGTCCATCGCATCTCCATGTTGCTCCCTGCATGCACCAGCTCTTTGATGTGCACTAGGGGACAGTTGGCTGACTTGTGCAGCTAAGGGTGAGCAGCTCTCAGCGCACACCATTACCTCTGGCCCCAGACCACAAAGTTCATTGCTACACATGCATTTATTTCCTGGCTACCTGGAAGCTATAACCAAGGCCTGAAAGTTGGTAAAAGACCAGGGCCTTGTTTACCAGACACTCTGGGAAAGGTCGACACCCTCAGCTGGAGTGGTAGAGATTGTTGCATGGAAAGACAAGGGCAGAAAGTCTGCAACACTTGGCAAATAGGCAAACAAATTTGAGTCTCTCCCTTCTTCCTCCCCTTCGTGAAATACAGTATTTATATTTCCAGCCTCGAAGAAGAGAGCAGAGCATGCTCCTTCACAGGAGAGTTATAGACCTGCTTATTCTGAAACAGATGTGCTCCCGCGGCACAGCGCCTTCTCTCTCCACCCCAAAGCCCTGTCACTGCAGCTTAGTCTTTGGCCCTGCTGTAATTAATGTATCTGTGATTCCGACTGTCAGGGAGGCTGTTCCCAGCACACTGAGCATGGCGGCCTGAAGAGCACAGTCACCCCGTACGTACACACACACACACACACAGAGAGAGAGAGAGAGAGAGAGAGAGAGAGAGAGAGAGAGAGACAGGTTTGCCCTGTGTACAGAAATCACAGGTGCCCAAGGTCAGACCTGCTTCAAGTCAAGGGTAAAATCTGAATCCCTGCTCAAGACACCTGAGTTGTCCCCCCTGTCCCCTTAGCAGGCCCTGCTGTGTGAGCCGACCTTGGGAGCTCCTAGAACCTAACCCTGGACATTGCTTTTTGCTTACTTTTTGAAGGGGAAATAGATAAACAGTTGTCTTTAGCCATCTAGAACTAAGCCATGTCGCTACCACTTCTGTTTTCTCTCTCATGTACATCCCTGATAGCCTGGTCCATAACAACCATCTCTGCCACCACCACCAAAATCTGATAGGACACAGTGGAGCCAACTTAGGAGTTGGGTCTACCATGAAAATTCAAAATTGCTATTTTCAGCCCCGAATGCCATAGAGTGCATGAAGGCCCTTACTGTTTTCAGGCCTAACAAATTACTTGGTGCAGTGTTAGGTAATTGTTCTCCTGCTCAGAAACCACCGAAAGAAAAGCGAGCCTGTGGAGTCCCGCCTCCTTTTCTCATCTCGGCAAATATCGTACAACTAAAGCATAATGGAAAATGGCCCATTAATCTCCCGGAGCTGGCAGTGGAGTCCGGGGAACTGCTTTTCACTAAACAGCCCATTCCCTGGTGTAGCACAAGAATTCCCTCCTGCTCATGCCAGAAACTCGTGTGACACCATCCAGCCTGGGGGAAGTGTTGGCACCCAACCCCACCGTCAAGAAGCCAGTTCCCAAAATAGACCTGTGTTTGCACTGCAGCAGGAAGGCCAGAGAGCTCCAGAGGCAGTCCGTTGCGATGGGAGTGGAGTTCTTTCCAGTGCTGCCTGTTCCCAAAGTTGAAAGCAGCTTTATGTGAAAACCATGTAAACTCTGCTTCCCCTGAACTTTCCGTGCTGAATAAGGACCATCTTTTGGGAGTCTTCACATTTGATGAGGTGAGAGGTGACCACTTCTTACTTCTTCTGTAATAGGCCTCCACCAAAAAAGAGAATGTGACTGCAGTGCCTTGGGTTTGCAGGTTCTAGTCCAGTCCTGAGGTAGCCCAGTGTTGTGGTGCCCCTCAGCTGCCCCTAAACAAAGGTTTCTCTGTCCCGCCGTCACTGTGGCTAAGAAGCAGTGCACCCTCTGGTGAGGTCTGGCCTCTGTCGCTGCTTGCTGCACCCTGAATGTGAGCACCCATGGGTTTCTTTCTGCACCTCCTTACGGAGGCTTGGCTTCCAGCCCAGCCAGTTGATTCTCTGTCCGTGGGCCAGAAACACCAGACACAAACTCCCTATCAGAGCAGGATCACAGTGATGCCACACGTCCTGAACACCAACTACAAGGACCGCTGCCATCAAGGAAGCAGAGACACGTTCTGCTGCTCATTCCAGGGGGAGCCCTGCCCTCTGACCCTGCAGAGCAGCCCTCGCTGTCACCTCCCCGGCTTTGCTGAAATTGCTAGACTAAGAACTAATCTTTGATCCTTTGTTGGAATACTGCCTGGTTCCAGCACAGACTTTATTTTGTTTTATTTATGTATTTATTTGGTAAATGGAGATGTGTGCAGTTTTATTTGGGGAGTTTTCTACACGACTTTTCACCTTCAGAAATAACATGGAGAAGTCGGGAATTTCAGACGACAGGGAATTTCAGCCTTGGCATGGCCAAGGCTTCCTCCTCCTTATCCTCTCCTTGGCACCGACTTGTTGATGGTGAGCATTAGGAGTTTGGGCCACCTCTCTGCACCTTCCCACTTGCCTGACCCCAGGTTACTACGTTGAAGAACCCCCTCGGCAAACCTAACCCATGCTGTTCTCTGTCACAGGGTCAGGGGTCTTGACGGCTAGGACTCAGCACCCAGCAGTCTCTTCCTAGAGATTGTTGTGTCCTTTCTTTGGATTCCAAACTCTCTGCCTCAAGAATTTCTTCCTGGTATGTTTGAGGGGGTGCAGGGCTGAGATAAAAACTCCACACCACTGTAAAACGCGGTAAGAATCAAAGGGAAGCATGGACTATCTCCTAGCCTGACCACACGTGTCAGAGCGTGATGGAGCCCTGGCTTTGTAAAGTCGGCCCCGGTATGCTAGGGAGCACTGGCGAGTGGGACATGGGCCACTCTGCTGGTCCCTCTCTGAGGGAAGAGGCCACTGACTGCTCATCTTTTTAGGAAGCCCCTTAGTGAAGCCAGTTATTTGCCAGGCCAGTCGAATAAGATACCTACCGCAGCTTTTCCACAGTTGGGTCCCTCTAGCTGGCCATGGAAAGCTGCAGACCAGCCCTGTCCTCTCTCTTAACTCCCTTGCCCCTTCATCCTCATCACTGGCCCAGATTTAGGGCTCTTCCTTCCCACTGTCTCCTTTCCCTGTAGGAGTGCCTTATAGTCTAGTGTAGTCTGACCCACTTGAAGCCTGCAGGACCCTTCAGCTAACCCTGGATCTCTGCGCTCTTCCTGCTGGCCACTGTGCAGTACACGGTGTACCTGGAGCCTGATTATTCCATGATGCTCATCGGACCTTCCACCTTTGCTTAACCTGGTGCCTTAACTTCACAAGTAAAGGGAGTCACATTGCAAACACGTTATTGGAGTGGAACATCGGTTTCTTCAGTGTCATTGGCTCTTTTACCAGGAAATACAAAAGACAAAATATAGTGTTTTGACCTTGTTTTATGTTTCTTAGCCACTCTCTGTTTGCTTGCTTTCATTAACCAAACTCAGGGGAATGTCATGTCACCAAGGTCAATGGGGAAGAAACCAGCTACCCAGAACTGAGTTATGTAAAGTCTACGAACTCAGTCCTTATTAAGTTCAAAAGTGACACCAACACCAAGATTTTTTTCCCTTTACTGTACGAAGATTCTTCCTTTCTTGCCACCTGTGTCCCACATGAGCAGGGGGAGCCTCTGGGATGTATGTTGATGGTGGTGTCCCTGTGTGCAGCCTGGGCCACCTGCTGAGCCAGCCAGGACTGCAGGTGGAGAACAAGAGGGTGGTGATGCAGAGGTTTCCGGACAGCTTGCTCTCGGGCTCCCGCGTCAGCTCCGTGTCATTGCCCCTCAGTTCTGCTCATGCGGTACCGAATCAATTAGGACTTTGCATTTGAGCCGTTCCATCCCTCTGTACAGTGGTTTGTAATAGCTGATGTGCTGATTCGTGTGTTCTTTGTTGTCTGATTTTATTGCTTTTTGTTTGGGGTTAATTTATCCACATTTTTGTTTACATTATCTTTTAAGATAGTAACTGTAATAATATAAAACGGAGGCTGCGCTCTTGACAGAGCATCTCTTTTTACCCATTCCAAATTGTATAAAGTTCTCTCTCTCTTTCTCTCTCTCTCTCAATAAACAACAATGAAAGTACTTTCTGTAATGTTAGATTTATTAAAATACTATTGATTTTTTTTTTCAGGAAAGGGGGAGGTGAGTCCATGGCATCAATGTACAAATCAAGATCTGAGGTCTATGGAAAGTAGGCTGTTTATTTGGGGAGGGGGGATAAAGCTTTTTTATTTTGTCTTATGTGTGTGAGTGTGTTGCTTGTGTGTTTGTGTACTGCATCCGTGCTTGACGCCCAAGGAGTTCAAAAGAGGGCATTGTATCCCCTGGAACTGGATTTACAGACAGTTGTGATGAGCCACTATGTGGTTGCTGGGATCGAACCTTGATCCTCAGGAAGAACAACAAGGGGTCTTAACTGCTGAATCATTGCTCCAGCCCCTTCCGTTGTTTTAAAATCACCCTTACATCTAAATGTGTGACTCTATAGTATTGTCACTTTCTCTGTGTTTACAGGAAGTATTGTTTGAGTTTGCTTCCTGTTGATATGCTAACCATCGTGGCAAAATCATCGTGGGGAGGAAGGACTTTACAGGCCAATCTGATCTAGACATAATCTAGGCAGTCCCTCAGTCGAAACTCCTGCCCCAGCTGACTCTTGACTGTGTCAAGTTGACAGTAAAACCTAGACAGGACAGTGGTGTAATGTGAAATGTTCAATGTCCTGTTCTGGGTGTTCTTTGCTGAATCAAAGCAGTTCTGAGACAAATGTCTCGAGGTGATATGCTGAATGTCCTTCCCCAGATTTCCCTGTTTCTCATATCCCTTCCCTGGTCCTCTCCATATAAGAAGGACAAGTGCCAGTCAGTCAGCATCAGGAAAAGGCTGTGACTAAGGACCACACTCTAGGAGATGAGGAAATAAAGAGAAAGAGCTGCACATGGTGGCACGTGCCTTTAATTCCAGCACTCAGGAGTTAAAGGCAGGCTGCTCTCTGAATTCGAGGCCAGCCTGGTCTACATAACCTTTAGTTCAGGTATAGCCAGGGCTACATAGATCCTGTCTCAAAATAAAATAAAATAAAATAAAGATCTGGTGTCTTTGCTCTTAAGTAGCCTCTGAGAGATGAGAATTTATTAAAAATAGGCAACTGTCCCTCCACCGAAAAGGCCTGAGGGTGCGACAACTGTGTCCTTGGAGCCTTTCCAAAGCACCACTGAGACTTGCTTCCCCAAAGAAGGACATTGTAAAGAGACTAGCAAAGGTATTTCTGGCTAAACATTTGCCAAGGGTGAACCCTGAGCCTTACTCCCCAGACACACCCAATCTAGGCCCTGCCCTGCCCTGCCTATCCACACAGGAAATAGCCCAGCCCATACTCTTCTCCAGGAGTGACTGGACTTCATCCTCACACCAGACCTGCCACAATCCATAACAGAAGGAAACGAGTTAATGTTTCACTTTGTGAAGCTGGAGCCCGTGTTCAGCTGACCACGGTTGGAGGACTATGTCTGAGGAACAGCAGAATGCTTGGGCACTTTCAGAGGGCAGATACCCATGCCCCCAGAGGCTAGATGACAACCAACATCTTGTCTGCCTCCGTCAAACTCCAAAGGCATGACTTGGTTCTCCCTTGTGGTGTTTTGTTTTGAGACGAGGTTTATCTGTGTAACAGTCCTGGCTGTCCTAGAACTCACTCTGTAGACCAGGCTTGACCTCGAACTCACAGAGATCTGGTTGAGTCTGCCTCCTGAGTGCTGGGGTTAAAGATGCACACCACCAGGCCTGGCTTTCCTTTGTGTTCTTATTCTGTCTTTTGATGTTGACTCAGAAGATGGCTCCAGTCAGTGACTCCCTCATGAAAAACACAAAGGAGAGCAGAAGGCCGGGCCATGTCCCAGACAATGGAGTCAGACGCACTCTGGATGACTCTGAGTAGTAAGAGTATTCAAAGCTCTGTGAGTGCGGGCGAGGGACGGTGCTCAGTAGTCGAGTACTCAGCATGGACAGAGCCATGGATTTGATCCCCAATACCACAAAAAGTAAAGGGCCTCTTTAGTAGGTTTGATGTATTCTGAAAGTTATGAACCACTATCCTAGTCAGGTGTAGTGACAGGGGCCTGTAATCCCAACTTCTCAGGAGGCTGAGGCAGGAGGATTCCAAATTCAAGGACTGATTGAGCTAGAGTGAGTTCAAGGCCAGCAGGGACAATTCAATGAGATTCTGTCTCAGGGTTTTAAGTAAGGACTGGGGACCTAGTCAGTGGCAAAGCATTGCCTGCCCACTGTGTGGAAGGCCTCTGTTGAGCCCCCAATGTGGGAGGGAGGGGTGGCTAGTCTAAATGTGGAAGCTACCTTGAAATGAATGTAAGTATCGTGGTGGCCCACAGTGGGGCTGCCGCGCTGTGCTGTGATTCTTCTCCCAGCAGACAAGACAGAACTTGGGAACTTGATGCTCACCAGCAGCGATGATTTTCATAAAAGCTTTAAAAAGAAATCACCTTTACACCCCCTTTATTTCCTCCCAGGGTGTGGTCAGCTTCTGCTGATCTAGTGCCCGTCATCTCCAGAGGTCATGCACAGCTGTGTCAGGGCAGGAGGGGCTAAGATAACCACAAAGGAAGCTTTGTGTTCTCTCCTTTCCCCGAGATGTGCTTCCGTGGGAGTCTGCTCCTGCTCCAGTCCTGGGTGTGAACAGTGATCCGAGTGGATGGCGG